AGAAAAAAAAGAATTCAAGTTGTCCCTTAAGGTTATTTTTTTATTTAAATTGGATATTCTATCCAACATGGATATAACTTCTTTCTTTCACAGCAGCATTGGATCAAAACAAAATAAAGCTTATCAGTACTTGTTAGCTTACTGCTACAATTAGACACTGCGCCCTGCCCACTCTGTTGCCAGATTTGAGAGAAATAAGAAACCAGGTCTATGAAAACAAGCCCCAAAGAAGCAACACATACATGATGTTCTGTAATTTGAAACCAAAACTAAGGCCTCAGGATGACTTTAAGACTTGAACATGGTCCTTTTTGTTTTGTAACATTGAATAAAAATAAAAAAAAAGTATTTATAAAAAAAAAAAAAAATCCCGATCCCCGATTTTTTTCTCCCGATTCCAATCTTTTGAAATTCACGTTATCGGCTCCGATCCCCGATCACGTTATCGGATCGGGACATCTCTAGTTTTATCAGTGAAGAACAACCTTAAAAACAGGGTGTTGTAAACAAGAAGGTTGTGTAACGTTATGTTTGTTTTGGAAGCAATGTTACTTCTTTAATAATCATTGTTAACAAAAATATAATTTAATTTAATCCTTCAGAGAAAAGTTAAGATATTGTTTGTTTATGCTTGTTTTAAATATCAGAACCAACAGTTCAGTTTAAAAAATCAAAATGCTACCAGTGTATCTCTATTAATACAAAAAACATATATATATATATTGTTTGTTTTGGTTAGTCTGGCTGCTGGAGTCCAGACGGGAGTCGCCTTCTCTTCACCGTACAGGGGGAGGCGGTCATCTACGCTCTGACCTTCACTGACTCTCCAGGTCATCTCTCTGCTTAACACAAAATATGCAGATGTTTTCTTTTTAAGTTGAAGAGTACCAGAAAGAGTTTTGATAAGTTGACTAAAGTTGACCAGTATGATGTCGTTGTTATTCAGCTGGCGTTCCTTCATGCACATCCAAAGGTCCGCAGGCAGCATCGGTGGTGGCCGACCTATCAGAGACGACCTTTAACACGCCAGATGGAGACATCATGTAAGAGCTTTTCATTCAGAACTGATGAGCAGGGCTTCTCAAATCAAAGAGAGAAAACCGAAATACCTTTTTGAAGCACAGATTATGATTTTCAGAAATCAGCAGCATTATTCAGAGCATCTTGACTTCCTCTCTGCATGTTACACAACAATCACTCGCTCACCTCTGTCTGATCTGTCTGCCAGTGTTGGAGGAGAGATCCAGTCTTTAGCGTGGGACTCAACAGGAGAGAGGCTGGCGGTGCTTCTCAAGGGTCTGTCTCACTTTCCTTCTGTTTAATCACGATGAACTCTATCAGTATAATATTAGTGTTATATTTTACATTTTAATAACTCATCTCCATATTTTATCTTTTCTCTCAGGAGATCCACAAGCAGCAGACCGGCCTGCAGTCATAGCCGTGTTCAAGACGAGAACCAACCCCGTCTTTGAGCTTCTGCCTTGGTTTGTACTCTTATGTGTGGTTGCATTTCGTATTTGTGGAGCGCTAATGTTGTACATATGACAGGGTAGTATTACTGCATGAGCTGTACTGAATTTGTAAACGTTTCTCTGTTCTAGTGGTTTTGTTCAAGGGGAGGCCGGCGCTGAGGCCAGACTCATTCAGTTCAGTCCCAACTTCCAGCACGGAGCTCTGCTCACTGTGGTAGGTCTCGTTTTCATACACTTGATAACGTTTAATAATGTGGTGATTTTGGTCCTATATAGGGTTTTCAATTGGTATTAAATTGCATCTTATGTGGTATTGAAAAGTCTCACATTTGATGAGCCTTGCAGAAACATACATGAATGGTATTGGCTTCTCCAAAGTAACCTTTCTGTCTGTCCTCAGTGTTGGTCCACTGGAAGAATCTCCCACGTGCCTTTCTACTTCCTGAGCACTGTGGTCGCACACTTTGGGCTGGGTGGCAGCCCGTCCCTGCCCCGGCCTCAGGAGAGACCTGCAGACTTCAACCAGTCGCTCTTCACAGAACTCGCCTCTTAACTGTCCCTCACCCACCGTCACACACTCACTCAAGTCATTTTTGTTATCATGGATTGTTAATAAATATGTACATTTCTGCTGAACTGACTTGTTTTGCTTCCTTATTTCTCAAAACATTTGAACCAAACATTCAGTTGAAAAAATAATAAAGCCTAACATATCCGCAGTGTCCAATTTAAATTGATTGTAGTCTTTTAGTGGGGTCTGTAGTGAGTTCAAACAAGAAATGTGACATCACAAAGTATTCTCAAAGCAGACGGAAATAAACTCATCTGGTCACGTCTCCCTCATTGCAATGCAGATAAGATATGTAGGAGCAGCTTGAAGGAAAGATAAGATATGTTGTGGGTGGTGGCAAAAAGGCTCCAAAAAATCTTAAGTATTCTTCTTTGTTCTTGAACTTTCCAAAGTTGTACTTTGAATTTACCAATTTTACACATTGTATAATCTTTTGTTGGTAATGGTGAAGTGTTTTTAATTTGGTATACTAACTGCTAAGACGATATACTTTGACAATTATAGAGGAAGTTTATACTGTTTAGAATTATGCTGTATGGACTTGGTAGACAGCACCTTAGGCATTCTTCTTCCCAGTCATCACCTGGTGCCTACACGATTTCCCACAATGCAACTCTTCTAACATCAGTTTCGTGTAGCAGCTACTGTGATATCTTCCAGCAGAGATGATCTGCTATGGACGTGTGGTAAGCTCACTTATATACTCATCAGTGGAGTTGTCCTTTAAATGTCCTTTAATCTTGGTTTTTTCCCCCATTCCTAATAATAATTGTCATTGATTTTGTTTCTCATCACAATCTGAATTACTAGCATGTTTTTGTGTGTCCTGATTTTGATCTGCATGTGTATGAAATGTTACGTTTGAGAAGCTAATTGTGTTTTATATTTTGAATAAGAATATGTCGCTATGAAGGCTTAAGTCAAGCTTCTATTACTCAGAACCGACCGGAGACTAAGCTGGCCACAGTATGAGACGCAGTAACTCAGAATCATAATTACTCTACAAGATACTTGATACCAGTTCATTCACAAAATGATCTTTATTTATGCCTATTAGACAAACAGGAGCCGTCTGCACCCAGCCCCACCCTGACACCGCAGAACAAATACAGTACTTCTGTTCCTGTTGTTATTAGACTCTCATATTAAACACACAGTCTTAAACTTTCACACACTCACACACACACTCTCCACTCACAGTCAAGAGTAACTGACCTCATGAAGTATAACAGAAAAAAAAACATTTGAGCACACATGAATTGTTCTGTTGAAAGTAGAAATACGTCCCCACGCTATTTCTGTTTTTATTCAAAACACAATTAAAAATCAACTGCATTCTCATTTCGGTTTTCCTTTTATTTTCCAATTTACATCCATTAGAAGTGTAACAAAACAAAAATGATCATAATAAAATTAATAAAAAAATGTACACGCCCTCACACACACACAGAGACAACCCACCCTGGTTTGTTTTTGAGCGACCGTCCTCTAAGCCCCCTTTGAGGCTTTCCAGAGGAGGACTTCCAAAGTAGCCCATGTCTCCCCTTCTTTACCCGACTGCACCCCTCCTGCAGGGTGGAGTGTGAGTGTGTGGTGTGAGGCTAGTGGGAATTAGGGTTTGTGAGGGGGGGCGTTGGGCGGAGACTGAATTAAAGAACTCATAGCACCTTCTGAAGAGAGAGCAACCCAAAGCATAAATGGCCTTTTAGCCCCAGATCCCAGATTTAAACATTTTCACTTTGTTTTTCAGAGTGAGGTAGCTTTAAACAATCCGGACGGCTACAATAAAATAAAAATAAAAAATCCCTCAACTTCTTTCAATTTTTTTTGGGCGGGGGGGGGGTGATAACTGGGCCTTCCTCTGATGGGCAGTCGAGGGGTATCATGGAAACATACATCCCAAAGGTGACCTCCCTTTCCAAAAAGTGTTGGTGTGCATATAGACACATGTACACACATAATGTGGAAATATATATAAGACCATCTGGTTGTTTATAAACACAGACTTTTACAACAATAGAACCAAGGATTTATAATACACAGTAAAGGTTTAACTCCTGCTCACGATGGAGAGGCGTGGAGAACCTGGATTTGATTTTACTGACTTTATTTTTGGTCTACACTGATTCAAAATGCCGTATTTGTGTGTCAGGAGGGCAACAGGGAGGGAGGTGGAGTAGGACTGGGACAGAGGCTGTGCGGCTGTTCTGTAGTGGAAAGGGGGCTTCTCTTACTTACAAAGTAAACCCGTCCAGTCCTACCTCAACTCTGCCCATTCAGGTTAGACAATAAATAAGTGACATCAAGTCATGTTTCTGTTCTCCATAACTTGTTCGCTTGGTCCCTCTTCCTCCTGGCTCTGACTCGTCCCCGTCAACAGTGGGCCATGGGAAACATGACTGGATCTCAGGAAGCGGGTTGACGGGTTGATGCTGGTGTGGTGTACGGATATTGCCGGTGCCCTTCAGTGCTAACTTCCAGGGAGTACAACTTGGAGAGCACTTTGTTCGTTGTGAGAGAAAAAGTATCAATTTTCTTTTATAAATTTCCAGTCTTCTTTATTGTGGAAGTGTGTGTGTTAATGTTCATGGTTTGAGTTTATTTATTTCCTGTGTTCTTTTTGGGGGGCCATTGTGATATTCCACTTTACAAGAAGCAGACTGCGCCTACTTCCACTCCGAACTCCTGATCCGCTCCTCCGATGTCCATGGGAGCAATGTCCACGAATGGCAGACGGGAGGTTTTCTTTGTTTTGTACTCGATGACGGTCTTGGCCCACCGGTCTGTGTGTGTCTGTTGGGTGGAAATAGAAAAATGGGTTAAGAGAAGTGTTATGGTACAACAAAAATCATTTCAATGTAAAAATAGCTACTAAAGTCTAGCTTCCTCTGTCTCTATTTTGCTGCAGTCTGCGCTCACCTTGCAGCCATCCTCCATCACGGTGTAAGTGAAGCGACTGGTGCCCTCGGCGCGGATCTCCACTTCGTTGGAGCCCTGCAGCTTCAGAGCCTTCTTCAGGTTGCCAGAGGCCTGGTCCATGTAGGCCACGCTGTTCTTGCAGTGGTAGGTGAGGTTCTGGGTTGCCTCAGTGGACAGGAGCCTCAGGAAGGTCAGCTGAATGCTGCCAGCGTTGGCAACAGGGCCGTCATCAGCGTAGCTGAACTGTAAGATGAAGATTTAGGGATGTCATTAGCACGTTTAGGATCGTTTTTACTATTAAGATCAGTTATACCGAGATTATAAGTTTACTCACGTGGAATCCTCCATTCATGGTCTCTCCGAACCAGACGTGTTTGCGGTCCTTGCTCTTGCTTGTCCACCAGTTCTTCTTTGGCACCTCGGCGATGCTTGGTTTCACGCAGGTCTCTCCAGTCTCCATGTTGCAGAACACCTTGATGCCGTCAGCAATGCTGCCCATGTTGGGGTCCACCCAGTAGGTACCTGGAGAGATGAAATCATGAGGTTTAAAAGAATGAAGTCTAGAAATAGAGGGCAAGCTTATTGAATGCTTTCCAATCTTAATCTTTCCCCACGGCTGACTTACCGCTCTTCCACTCGGGGTGGCACAGCTTCAGGTCTCTGCAGGTGCGGCCGGGGTTCTTCTGGGTGCCGTCGGGGCTGCGCATGTTCTCGATCTGGTTGTTGAGGGACTTCAGAGTGGAATCCACCTCAACGTCGTGCTGCCTCAGGGAGCTGGAGGCCTCATCGGCCCTCATGTACCTCAGAGGATCGGGGGACTTCTCAGTCTGACCCATACCAGCGAAGGCAGACATGTCGATGCCGGGGCCGGGAGGACCGGGGGGGCCTGGGGGTCCAGCGTTTCCGGGAGGACCCTGAAGGTTGGAAAGCAGGAAATTGATCAGGGAATCAGTTAAAGACTGTAGCAGGGCTTGTGGTGATTATGGATCTTTTTATTATTTTGTGGACATACAGCAGGGCCGCTTTCTCCAGAACGTCCACGAGGTCCAGGGGGTCCGATGGGGCCGGGCGTTCCATTTGATCCGTCTTTGCCAGCAGGTCCAGATGGTCCACCAGGTCCCTACAGAAACAGGAAGTGTTCAAGTTAAAGCCAGTAGAAGCTAGCATGTCTGAAATATTACTCCATTTTCTAAACTGCAGTATATTTCAGAACTGAATAAGAAAATAAATCTGATTAATCTATTCAAATGGGTCAGCAGTTCTTCTCTATTACCCCAATCACCCCAGACCCTTTGCCTTATTATGCATGAAGATTATTTGTACGGTGACATTTCTCTTCATTTCCCTTATCAGGCAGTGCTTAGCTAATCGAGGATAGATATTGAAGTCCATTTCAGATCTGAGCAGGAGTGGTTTCACAAATCACCGTCCCTCTGCCCCTCTGCCTCTGTCCTTGCAGAGAGTAATTACAAAATGCCTCGGCTGCCCATCTTATCACAGCGCTGGGTAATTAAAGCACGTGGCCTTTCCTGTCCCAGTCTTCTTCACGTGATTGGAGAATTACAAAAAGACTAACCTGTGCCCTACATTACCATCACATATCTCAGGTGTTAAAGCTGCAGGATAGAAATGGAAAAATAGCTTTTCTCCTCTTTTGCTCTTTGCTTGACTCAGTTTTCTTACCTTAGCGCCGTTTGGTCCGGCAGGTCCAGCGGATCCAGAGTCTCCGTTGGGGCCCTGTAAGGATGGGGACAATAAGATGAGACAGTAGAACACACAGAGGAAGGGAAGTGACATAAAAAAGAGATGTGGATTATACTTACAGGAGGTCCAGGAAGACCCTGAAGTCCAGTGAATCCACGGTGACCCTTCTGTCCTCTTTCTCCAGTCTCACCAGACTCTCCCTTGTCTCCACGGGGTCCTTGGGGTCCCTGGAGTGAAGATTGAACAAGTATTTAAATGCATGGCTGCACATGTGTAGCACTTGGAGTGACCTGAATCTGATCTAAAGCCACATCATGGTATTGTAGTTGGAGATACTCACAGCCATTCCTCGGGCTCCTGCGGGTCCAGATGGTCCTGCAGGTCCTTGAGAGCCCTGAAGGAAGAGACAACAGAGTGGTTAAGTCAAGTAAGAGGACACACACACA